ATTTTCATGCGGTCGGACAGTTTTGGTTAATAAAATGTAAACAAACCAAAAAAAAAAAATACATTTTTCAATTTGTTCTAAACGCAATAAAAGCGATAGGAAAACATTTTGATTTTTAATTCGAGATTTCAATTAATAATAATTATTTTTGTCAGTAACGTGGACCAGAAATAACTACACAGGCGACATAAGTATTCATATTTTAGCAATAATATAAATAAATTCAACTGCACTTGTTTTTGTAATATTAAATTTTCCTATAATTGTTAACAAAACCTATAACAGCTTGATAACAATGATACAATTTTTTTTTCAAACATAATGTTATTTTGGCATGGAAAAAATTATATAGCTTTATTTTGCTCGATTTAAACAAATAGAGTTGCTTATTACTAAAAAAATATGAGTCTACAATAATACATAATAGATTAAGAATTTTTCTTTTAAATTTTGTAAACATATGTATTTCCAAGAACAATTTCGAGCATCTACTCTATAAAACAAACATTTGAAGTATTGACAAAAAAAAACAAAAGCCACATTTTACATTTTCGGCGACCCATTATAGTTTGCACGTGTCTCGTGTCGATAAAGTGAACTTAAAGCTTTGTTCAATAGTTTTACATTATAACCACTTCCGTATCTGTTTTTGACATTGTATTAATCAATACACACTCACTGAATATACACAAATAAATTATTGTTTACCAATGTACCGCTGTAGGGAACTAGAATATAGTATGTTATTTTATCGGTTATGTAATATAATATTTACTATAGGTCTTGACGGGCAGAACGTTGTGTGTAAATACTACACATATTTTCAACAGCATTGTGCATACAAATAAAACAAATAAATATTGAATTTAACTTTTGTCATAAAATAGCTGGGTAAAGATACATATGAAAGACTATTTAATGATTGTTATGACGCATCAAAACATGGTTTGCTACATAAATGGTTGTGTATAGAAAACATGTTTAATTTAAAAATAAAAACATTAAATTTATAGGCCTTAGCGCTGAATGTGATGAATAAAAATAAATGTCTGATATGAGATGTCTAGTATATTAGTCGACTTGATTATCTTTGCATTGAATTCCAATGCAATACATTTTTTGTTCTTTTTCCCTTTCACAGATGGTATTTTTAGTTAAATTTATTTGACATTTGATATCATCATAGCTCACTTAAGCTGATATTTTCAATTTTTATCATCGCCATTGAAACCAAACGGTGTATAATATATGACTACAAACATTGGCAGTAAAATCAAATATTACAAAAACGGTTTTTTTTACATAACCAATGACTTGCGCGAGTTATTGGCTGAAAATCTATATGCCAATCAAAAGAATAAATTATTAGCGTGGACGGTTATAAAAAGTGAAAAATCCTCTTAGATACATACCGATTATATTATGAAGCGAGTGGAGAGTTCTTATATAAAAAAAAAAAATAGTTTATATATTTATAGTTTAGCGCATAACTCGAAGAAGTCTCGAAACTTTTATTTGCAATATCGTTTAGGGCATTCTTTTTTTCCTTATTGTTGAAATGTAAATTGGACGGTGGCATTGAAATCGCAATAGATCCGTATTAAATGTATTTTCTCATTGGACGGCTGGAAATGAACTATCAAGTGTGTGTGTGTGAAGAAATGAATTTTGCTATCGATTATAACAAAGGCAAAGGACGACGCTACGTTAACCATAGTATATACACTATCTCTCATCCTAAGTTTAGATATTGGCCCGGGAGTTTTGGCAAAATTAGATTTCCGGCAACGCTTTGGCGACTTGTCGTGCCTTTCCCTCGACCTCAGGTAATTAAAACTTTCCATCCTGTCCGACCAAAGCTCTAACGTTTATAGATGTGTATACTGTATTTAATAAAGCGGTGTTGTCCTTAAATTGATCTAACTTTTGCAGAGCTCTGAGTATTTTTTTCTAATATCTATAAAATCGTTTGTCGGTCGATTTGTGTATCTCTAGTATAGCTGTTAGTGTAGCATAGTTTATTATGCGTTAAACGTTAAAAGGTCATTTTATATATTCGAACATCGCAGCATTCGGATAACAAATACACCGTATTAGTTTTACTGAGCAGTTACCTTTATTCCCAAAGGACAGCGAATAAGTGTTTGTGTGCCATCAGTTTAAGACCCTTAACGTTATTTTCATTCTTTTGGCCGGTGCCCGAGTTACTTTAATTAAATCTCCTCGACGACGTTTTCAATTCTCTATTGTCTGCAACTTCGTTTGAACTTATCTCTCCAGACACCAATGTGTACCATAACAGCTATAGACTGGACCTGTATAGACAAGCTTCTGTATTTTTAAATAATTACCCGACAGTCAAAATACCTTTTGACGGACCTAACCGACAAGCAGCTGTTTCATAATGACTTGAGTTAAAATCTAATAACTCTCAGCCAACCGTCGATGTGCAATTCATAATTTCATTGTACACAATTGATTATAAAGCAAACATTTACAAAAAAAAAAATGTATTTATTTTCCGTATTTTTTTTGGGGGGGGGGGGGGGGTTCTGATATTTTATACTCGTTCACGAAAAGAAACCATTATTTTTATATGGATTTTGACATCAGATTGGTGTCATTTGTTTGTGTATGTACAATATGCATGCGGTTTAGTTATAAAGTGGTACGATTGACGTAAATACGTTAGTATACCGTGTCTGATGTCAAGTTTTGTGTGTAAAACGTCAAGATCAGCTTTGTTACCGCAAAAACAGACAGACGGAGAAATCTGTCACATAAGAAACTTAGAAGTTCGATTACTTGGAAATAAAAAATAACTATGTATATATATATATATATTTATTGTACTAAAGACGGATCATTTCTCTAAGTAACTTACCTAAAAATGTTATGATTTTATCTTATATTGTATATTTTATAATATAAAACGATTTCGACGAAATTCGCAGCTCTTTTTAAATGAGCATTAAAAGTCGAATGATGTTTGAATAACCACTACAAATAATTTTTGTCTTTTTTCTGAGAATTAGATGAGAAATGTCAAATGAGAAATTGAACTTTTGAAAAAATAAATTTTTCTCGGACGTTTTTCTGATAGTTTGATTTTTGTACTTTTTATTTTCGCCCACACTTTCTAAATGTTTCGTCCGTGTTTGGTGGAAAATATTACAAGTGAAATATTTGTTGAAGATTTTGGTTCATGTACATTTATTAGGTTTATATTATTTAAAGAAAATACTATTATTTGTTATGCCAACTGCTAAACTGTGATGTATCGTGTAAATATCTGAACTATTGTTACAACGTTAACGAGAAAACAATTATTTTGTCAATATTAAAAATACCAAACTGTTTCAATGAATATTATAAAAAAAAAAAAATAAACATTCATTTCTATGTGGGTTTTAATAGCATACAACTCAACAGTGGAACTCTCAGTCGCTCGACAACCACAACAAGTATTTTCTGCTTCGATGCGAAGCTGAGGTTATTATTATTATTTTTTTCGACTTTCTATTATATAATACGACGCTCAGGTTTTTTTCTTCTAATATTTCGTGACGGTAATGTTATTCGTCCAAAAACGCACCGGTCTGCGATGACGTTACATCTCGAATAATAATTATTATTTTCCAGGTAAGGCGTGACGTACCCTAGGGAAACAAAATCCTGGGAAAGGATACCCACCGGTAATTCCCCACTGCGAGCGCGGACTCCAGTGCGTAATCCGTTTTGCGCCAAACAACGTTGTATGGAAATGCCATACACGAAATCACATTAGAATGGACAAAAAAATACAAAATAAGTTCCATAGGGAAATAATGCATTTAGGTGTAAATTATTTTCCATACTCGGTAATAACAGGAAATGGTCCTGGCACTCCCGCGGTTTCTCCCAAGTAATTTATATTGATGTATGACGGCTAAGTGCCACCGGGGCGTCAAAGAAGAAAAATGTATCTGTCGATGAAGTTTGCAGTGTTTCGATATGCCATTGTTCATTCGTGCATTTTTTATTATAATATGGTACATAAATATGTTTCTCTAAAACCCTAACCGAAGTGGTGTGGCGGACCGAGTAAAATGTACCTCGCAATAGCCGCATATACTTACTATCAACTGTCTTGTTTTTGCGATATAATTCATATAAATGTTTGGCATATAATTATTATTAATTTGTGTCCCAATGAAGTGTATAAAAAAAAATACTTAAACAGTTAGAGTTAAAACTTATTAGACTTCATTTATGTTTATAACTGAAAATATCGCGAAAAACTTAAAAAATAGCTCGTCATATCAACAGCGTTGTCATAAAAAGTAATAACATACAAGTAAATGGATTTAGCTTATACAAAGTATCCCGCAATACATGTATAAGGATGACGTCAAATAGGGTGGTACATGCTCCTCTCGATTGTGCAATAAAAAAAAAATTGTTATACACGTTTTGTGACCGCTTTGTGCGCATGACTGTTGCTAAGCAAATTGCAAATTATAAAAAAGTACAACAATTGAAAAATAGCTTAGCTTTTTTAATTTGTAATTACAAAATTGTACAAACAAAACATATTAACTCGGCCTACGCCTACTGTAACTGTAAGTTGCATTCCATACGCAATTTATGTTAACAGTCGAAATGTGCTTTGGCTTGCTTTGTATAACAAAAAATAATATGTATAATATTACTGTATAATTTTTTAGCATTGTTTTAGTTTTCGTTACCAATGTATTTTAAGTAATTTTTTAAATTATTATATTACAGAACATAATGTATATTAATGTTGAATACATAATGGCTTTTGTGCGCGCTATAATCATATTATATACACCAAATAGTTTGACATTTTTAAACGATTGAAAATACAAGTACTTAATATTATAATTAGTGGCTGGACGCACTGGACGGTTTCCCAAAATATAACCATTTATTTAATTTTTGCTTTGGCAGAGTCTTTATGGGCGACATCATAATGAAACTATTTTTTTTTGTTCCAGCAATCGTCATATGGAGGTTCGCCGTCACCTGACCTAATGCTAAAAGAAGGAAATCTACGACGGGTAAGTTTTTTATCTTCGCAAAACATAGAATTTAGCTATTTAGCTCAATATGTTTAATACATGTTAAGTGTACAAGAAGGGTATTTGCCCACCGCAATATCTCAAACCGTTCATCCCTCACATCATATACTATGTAAAGGGAGTTATTTTTTTGTTGTTCATTTATTATCAAACCGAACAAAGAAAATTCAGGGATATTAATCGTCGGGTTCATATAGAAGGTTTTTTTTCGCGGTGTGTGTGTTATCACTATAGTCACCACTCAATGGTTTGGAAATTTCTCGAGTGCAATTAATTCGTGATCAATCGGGAGGAAAATCTTAGTTGTCATACTACACAACGTGTATGATGTAATATATGAGGTGCTATATCCTTTCCAAAGGAATTCTTCTTGGTGTACGAATACCAACAGCAACAATGTATAGGACTTGTGGTTTTTTGCGATTACATTTAACGATCAACCGATGGGATATTGCCGTCGACGATATCATGCGTACGGAGGAAATGGCCTGTAAAAAAGAAAAGAAAAAAAAGGCTGTTCTACTTATCTACAGTATTCGGTGACTGTAATCATTATTATTACTTTTTTTGTTTGTCTTCGGTGTTGGCTTTTGCTGAAGCTTGACCGCATTTCGCCGCCGGCAACGGAGAATAATATAATAATTGGCGGATGAGAACACGGTAACATAATAATAAATGGAGTAATATGCGTTATTGGGTCTTGCAAGGTTGTGGCGCGCCTGACCTGTACGTTTGCCATTTTGGTTTTCGGTAGATAACAATATTGATGCCGACGGCGTCTTATATTTTAAACAAGCCTATATATAAATGTTTGATGAACTTTCTGTGCAAAGTGAAGCGAGCCCGATCGGTGTACATTTTTAACGAAACAGTGAAGCGGGTCTTCTGAAAGAAACAACCGGAAAACGGTGAAAACTGACCCGAGTTGACCAGTTTTTTTGATAAGGGTAGACGTTGGCATGAATTATTTCCTAAAGAAAAGTTAATGGCATTAAGTAAGCTTAAACAAAATAAATTATTTTTAAGCCGAGCGTAACGCGTTTTCTTGTTTTTGTTCCTGTTGTAAAGATATTACCTACTACTGTAGCTGATGCGGTAACTGTTCCTAGAAAACTTGTAACCCAACGTTATGTATAATATAGTCCACGTCATTCCAACTTAAACAGCAGTTGTAAAATGTTATTTTTGTGTGAGTTTTATTTTATCCTACCTTCGTCTGTTGTCAGTGATTTTTTTTATCCAGTCTTTTTTAATTGTTATTTCATAAAAAAAAAAAACGCTACCGAGTAATGAATAATGTTTTAAGCGTAGGACATACCTACTAAACCTTAGTAAAAAAAACTGTGTCTCTCACGAAGGTTACGGGTTTTACAAGGGTATACAAAGTGGACCGTTTTGATTTGAATCCTTTAGCGTTTTTTTTAATCGTTATGTTTTTTGTTTGGCTAAGCGGGAATACCTATATGTTAATTGTGACGTCCAAAATTTGGGTAAACAAATCTTGCGTCGATGATACGGCTACTGATGTTTTTAGGGACCTCGGAGGAGTTTTAAAGGATATTACTTTAACGAGCAAATAACATCTCAGTTGTGAAAATCATTATTATTTTTGGGGCAATGTTCTCGTGGTTCAAATAATATACTATTTGCCAATAGTAATATTTTGTACTCACCGTGGTGGTGCTGCTCGGTGTGGCTTGAAAAACGACTTGGGGATTATTCCAAAATTGCCTCGAGACTTGAATTTGCATACGTCCAAAGCGTCGTCGGTGGTATAACGCAACGTTGTGTTTTAATCCCGAGCTCTGTAACGACCAAAATTATTTTAGTTGTAGCAATTTTCTTTATCGTGCCGGTCGTGTCCGGCGGTGAAGGTAGTAACATAACGGCGTTTTAACTTTTGCTCGTTTAATCTTAATACCTATGTATTATTATTATTATTATATGTCCCACGAATAGCTTTTGTAATATATACAATAGGTACTCTTTTGCCAATTCAGGCGGTCGTTTCGTGTCGTTATTACTGCAGAGTGATGACTATATATATATACCAATAAAGTCGTTCCCCAGTGTAATACTCACATAGAGGAGAATGGTTGCGTTCAACAACTCCCGACTAATGAGGGAACGGTCGACCATTGTGTTTTTACACACACATAAGCACACCTATGTATTATGTATATTATATTATAATTAACGTAACGACAACAACCGCGACGAAGGGTCCTTAAAAAAAAAAAAAAAAATTAAAGAAACGCGCTCAAGAGTCGAGTGAGATGATAATAATAACTACAGGTACTCGTCGTCGGTTGATGGTCGATCGGCAACAGCACTAGCTAATAATAATAATAATAACGTTATTATTAACATAAAAAGACTTTGGGGGGGGGGAACTTCTATAGACCATAACATGTTGTAGACTTTCTGCTCGGCGTGTAACCGCTGTATAACGCCCGTGCATGTATAAAATATACAAGACGCAAAGTTTGATAGTTGCTCTGGGTCGGCACTATTGTCATGAGCTTAAAGTTTAACGCGAAACGCATTGGGTCGAGTGGAATATATACGTCCCGATGGCGACTGGTAATCGCTTTAGAGACCTTTCGGCTCAGCCAACCGTTCCGAATTACATGACCCTTGAAGAATATAGACAATTATTAATTCGAGTATTTGCTGCTATCGCTTTGTTACACATATATTTTTTTCGGTCCTCTACTGCGCCCGATGAGTACAATATTATATCCCGGTGATTTTATTTGATTAGTAACGCTCTATTCTGTAGTACCTAAATCGAATTCTTTGGCAGATAAAATTTTTTTTTTTTTTGTTGAATTTCCAATACAGCCGTGAGCTGTGTGTACAATGTGAAGTATAACGTAGAACCGAACTTGTTTTGATTGTTTTTTAGAGGACTGTTAAAATTGGACGGGGGGAGGAGGCGTCTTATGGATCATTAAAATAAAACATACTTGTTCGGGATTGCTGCGTTGACGTTATGCGAAAACCGTATACATAGAAAAAATAGTCCGCATTAGTAGTGTGGATTCGAAAATAACACCGGTATAGAAAAGTAGTTTTTAAGCGCTCGACGCACCCGACCCGAACGGGGTTTGCGAAAACCGACGAATTTCCAATTTTTACGTTTATTTACTGTATTCGTATTTTCCTTTTTCGCTTATACCCTCCTCTCTCTGTATGTAATACCCATAGTATGTACCGTCATAACGTCTGGCTTTCCCGACACAGATGTGACCGGACCAAGCGAATAATTTGTTATTGTAATGAGTATCCCTTGTGGAATATTTAAAGCTCTCACACACACACACACACGCACTTGTCTCCAACGAGTACAGTTTTGACCGGAACGTTTTTGGTAGGTATACAACATATTTGTGTATCGTCGGTTCGATATCGATTCGCTCGTGCCATTGTATACAATATATATATATATATATATAGTATATATGTAAGGCGTCTTGCTATCGAATGACACTGCGAAACGGAGTAGGTGCCAATTCACCAGGACCGGGGCCTATCACTGTCGGTGTGTATGTGCTCCTCTGCTGAGTGCGTACCAAAGAAATTTTCCAACGATAAATCACTCTTTACCAGGAAAACGCCACGGTCGTTTTGGTCGGATAACGAAAAGGACCACTCTATCCCGCGCAATGATTACCGCCAACCAGCACCACTCTGACGATGTAATATGAACCGAAATTCGAGTGGCAACAGAAATGTTTACTGTTATCGCAGTCGTTAGACAAAAAGAAAAAAAAAAGGCATCGAGGTAGGTTTTTGTGTACACAGCGCGTGTAATACATTTTTTTTTTCGAAGGACTTTTGCGCGGTACCAACTTATAGTAGATAATTGTAAAATAATAAATATTATAAATCGTATTATCGTCGTTAGAGCGCCCGCAGGTGAAAATTCAGGAGGGGGGGGGCTATGATTTTGTAATTGATTTTGCGAATTTGGGATATTGAATATAATTTTGTTTAACTTGCAGAGAAGTTAGGGGGGAGTTGTCTCTTGTCCGCCCCTCCATTGCGTGCGGGTTACAGTGCTCGGAAAGAGCTCGTTCGTAGAAACTCATTCAATTAATTCCGTTCAAATTTTCGGAACGTTTTGAAAACAAAATTCGTCTGTAATAAGTGTGTATACAGTTAAATTTAACATAATTTATTTTTATTATCGTGATGCCTTAACCAAACGGTTCAATTAAAATTTCGAAATTTCTTCCTTAGTAAATAGCAGGAAGGCTAGGAACAAAGGAAGAAACTAGTACATTTCTCCAAGCCTGCAACAAAATCTCAACTTATTTCCTTTCTTAAAAATTGTCTTAAGAGTATTTTTAAGCACTTGGCGCGATGCATTTGTATAACTCTCATGACGTTCGGTAGATTAGTGAGACTTCTGAATAGGTTAAACAGAGAAGAATGAGATACCCTACATAACGTCTACAGTTTACAACATTCCAAATAATCGCTTTCCTAGATAATAAAAAAAAGGATCAGTCATTCGACGTTATTAGCGGCGTTCCAAATGATTACTAACCTCAATTCGAGGCCGTCTTAGTCTTAGATATTGATGGACCTCGATATTGTCTTATTTTACCATCCGTTATCTCGAATGATGTTAAACTAGGGGCGGCCTATCCACATTTTCGTTATCTATCACACAGTTTTTTGATCATTATAATAATATTATGACCGGAACTCGGCCCGAACGACGTCGTTCGTATAAAAACCGTTTGTGAACTGCGGTAAGTACATTGTTACCGTCATACCATTATGTTTAAGTATAAACTTATTATACTGCCATTATATTTTTGTGCACCCCGAACGAAGTGTTGCGCGTCCATTTACGTTTATGGCCAAATTTAATGGGACGGTCGTGACGGTGTTGGCGACCGATTGATTAGCGAGACGTGACAATGCGACTTTTGTTCTTTATATATATATATATATATATATATATA